TTTAAAACATGTCAAATTATAAAATAACTAGTGATCAATACAAACACTTTAAGATATTTATTTTGGTGATATTTATAGAGAAGCAAAACATTTTTTAGCTGTTAGTCATGAAGTTGCATTGACATAAAATTGTGAAACCTGTTTTAAAATTTATCAGTTGTGTATTATTTGCTGTCTTTAGGAAAACATATTTGTAGAGGCAACAGGTGAGTTGTTCAGTGTCAACTTGAATTCAGTTTGGAGGTGTCTGCTTAACAAATACTCGCTGGCTACAAACATTGCTAATAAAGTTTTCTAAATAAATAATGGCATACTGTAATAATGTGCATGAAATACTTGAAACATGTATCCACACATAATGTACAAATTGGGTAAACATATTATGAAATAAGTAAATATCCTATACAAATTTTATTTGTTTGCATGAAGAGCTGCTGCTGCCATGCAAAAGGATAATTCACTTTCCCAGCACAGAAATTTGCTTTTGGCTGGAAGTAGAGTGAACTGTTCTTCTCATTTTAGATGGGAGAAGGTGCCCAGACTTGGAGGTTCCAGAACCTTCTTTATTGTACTAAGAGAGGTGGTATCAGTGTAATATCAACATCAGTGTGACAGTGGTCATGGGGGCTGGGCAATTTTTGTCCTTGGTCCATGTGCATACATAAATGTATGGCTCCCCAAGTAAAAATTCAACCTTGTGTCACATCTTGCCTCAGTGGAGAGGCTGGGTAAATATATGCATAAATTATTGTATTTTCTTGTACATAATATAAGAAATTTTGAATAAAAGGCAAAAAAGTTTGTGTTTTCATGAATTTTTATTCAGCTTAATGACCACTTATTTCAGATGTGTCCAAACTTTTATCAAAGAGAGCCAGATTTGATGAAGTAAATATGAGTGAGGGTCAACCATTTTGCTTGGCATCCTTTGAACCATTAAAATGAAATGCAAATAAACTATCTTATGAAAATTTTACTGCAAATGGTATATTTTTATTTCATCACATGGATGACAAATAACATTTAAACAGGTCTTGACAAAATCACTCAGCTGTCGTATCTGAAGTCCATATAAGATGAAGTAAAATATGCCTGAGAAAAAAGAACTTCCTGGAAGCTATATCTCAGGTTAATCTTAAACATTACATATTATTGGTAATTAATGTTGTCAACTTTTAAGTTAAAAACCTATGAATAGGAACATAATACCAACATTTAACTAGTTAAGAAAAAGAAAACATAAAGTGACACAAGTCTAAGTGTCCAAATATATTTATAACTGATTTTGACCAACACAAAACAAAATCAATTCACTAAGATTTTAGAATTTATTCATCTCAGATGACCAAAACAAATAACTTGTCTGCACTAATGTAAAGGGTGATGTTGAGATCTAGACTGCAATATGTAGGTTAGGTCTAGTTTTAAGGCAGTGGTCTAGTTTAAAGACAGTGATTTTATAAATTGGCTGGAAAAGGCCAAGGTCAGGGTCACACTGCCAGAGGGTGGCCACACCGTGCTGCTGCCATCTTTTGGTAAAACACAAAGTTACATTTCTTAGGTGTGTACTTTACATACTTTGATTGACAATACTGGCAGGCTGTAAATGATAGTGGATGGCGGCCATATGAAATTTGACTTATTTGAAACAAAGATTGCAAATGCACTCTGCACAATCAAACCATATAATGATTATCAGTGAGTATTTATATATTTCCTGTCCCATCTGTAGTGGGAAGGGAGGTAAATCAACTTAAATTAGTAAATTTATGAGTGATTACTTCCTTTAGTTGTCTTAATAATATATACAAATAAAATATTTATCTGCATTTAAACAAAATTGCTTCTCAAGCAAAATGAACCACTTAATTAATCAGTTCCTTTACTCTTAGGTTTCTCAGATTGCAGTTTTATTTCTTCAAGCCGTTCATGTGAGGCACTCAGATACCTCTGTCTATTAAGTGATCATCTTGCTTCAACTTGATCCTGAAATAGGTTTTGTCACTGCATTTTTGTTTTTCTGTTGCTAATCTTTTTCTTCCCAGAGATATTTCCATTTCACTGTTATATTAAAGACAAAAATTTTTAATATGAAAAGATATTGAGCAAAAACCGATTTATATAATACCAAGAGTAATCAATGTATCACAGATACCATTGAATGTCTAAAAATGTAAAGAAAACAGATTAATTAAATGATTCATTGATCTCTATTTTGGTTGTGAATTATTTTTTTTTATCTCTACTTTATTAAATCTCAATACATTGTTTTAAAGACTTTTGTTTCATTACATCTCACTATTAGATCTTTCTAACAATTGCTGTCATTTTTGATGGCATGAGTAGACTAATAGATAATATAACATGGTAGGCAGGTGTTGATAAAAATTGTTTAAAAGAGGTTTTTGATATTTTGGCAATATTTGTCCTTTGGGAATCAGTGTAATTGGATATTTTAGTCTCAAATATAGGAAATTCATTAGAGTTGATTAAAAAAATGAATAGAGGAAATACCCAATATCAGTCATGTTTTGATAACATGAATGTTACAACAAAGCACTGTTCCCTAAAAACTTGAAAATAGATTTTCAAACTGAAATTAGGAAAAGAAAGATGTAATGGATAAACATCCAATTCTTTTTTTATTGTTTAATATTGTGAAAAAGTAAATATTTTTTTAAATATATGTGCAACATTGAGATTTTAATGGATAATAATATACAACTTTTCAAAAGCAAATTACATAGAGATGACTGTAATATGGGATTGTATTATACTCAAGTATTTAAATTATTCACCATTCAGAAACATGGGATTGTATTATACTCAAGTATATAAATTATTCTCCATTCAGAAACATGGGGTTGTATTATACTCAAGTATGTAAATTATTCTCCATTCAGAAACATGGGATTGTATTATACTCAAGTATGTAAATTATTCTCCATTCAGAAACATGGGGTTGTATTATACTCAAGTATGTAAATTATTCCCTGTTCAGAAATATGGGGTTGTATTATACTCAAGTATGTAAATTATTCTCCATTCAGTAACATGGGGTTGTATTATACTCAAGTATGTAAATTATTCTCCATTCAGAAACATGGGGTTGTATTATACTCAAGTATGTAAATTATTCTCTGTTCAGAAACATGGGGTTGTATTATACTCAAGTATGTAAATAATTCTCCATTCAGAAACATGGGGTTGTATTATACTCAAGTATGTAAATTATTCTCTGTTCAGAAACATGGGGTTGTATTATACTCAAGTATGTAAATTATTCCCTGTTCAGAAACATGTGGTTGTATTATACTCAAGTATGTAAATTATTCTCCATTCAGAAACATGGGGTTGTATTATACTCAAGTATGTAAATTATTCTCCATTCAGAAACATGGGATTGTATTATACTCAAGTATGTAAATTATTCCCTGTTCAGAAATATGGGATTGTATTATACTCAAGTATGTAAATTATTCTCTGTTCAGAAACATGGGGTTGTATTATACTCAAGTATATAAATTATTCTCTGTTCAGAAACATGGGGTTGTATTATACTCAAGTATGTAAATTATTCCCTGTTCAGAAACATGGGGTTGTATTATACTCAAGTCGTATTATGCACAATAAAACACAATATATTGTCTGTGCTGGTAAACCAATGATTTGCTAAGATGAGTAATACCACCTGTGCAATAAACAGGTTAATATTGACATTTTTAATACTTTAATATTCCTCTTCTTCTTCTATGTGCTGTGTGCCTTCAGGACATGGGCCATCATGGCACTCCACAATATCCTGTCCTTTGTAGCCCATAATAAAGTTTGTCTTTTTGCTATCTCTCCTAATCCCTGTTCTGCCAACAGAAGTTCATTAAGTAGGTTATGGGCTGTTTTCCTCTTTCCTTTCCTTCAGTATGTCCTCTGAGTATCAAATTCTCTAAGCTCTCTTTCCTCATTATGTGCCCTAGAAATTTTAACTCTCTCTTTCTGATGTTAAGTATAAGTGACCTTTTTGTTTCCATTTTCTCTAAAACTTTGTCATGGCTCACATGTTCACTTCATGGAATTTTCATCATCCTTCTGTAGAACCACCTTTCTGTTACTTCAATATTGTTCAGCATTCACTGCCATTTTAACTGTTTATTTATTTGAAACATATTTGAAAGCTAGTGTGTCTTAATTATATGAAATTTGATTTAATAATAATAATGTTTATATATATATATATATATATATATATATATATATATATATATTTTTTTAATTTCCTTCCAATGCCTGTTGTCATCAGCAGCATTCTGGACAATTGCTCTCAATATCCATAATATTTTAAATCTAAAATGTTTTTGTTTTACAGACATAGTATCTGCACTTCATGTCAATCAAACAATCTTTGTACAGCTTCAGGTGGCTGAGTTTTAAATTCAGAGGTGTCCTTTTCCTCGACTGGTTGCTAGAGATCTCAGTCTGATCTGCTATTTAACCCATATCTGTGAAGAGAAGAGATGGATTCATACCTTTCCTAAGGTTATTTGTGTAAAGGACTTTGATTTGCACTTCATTATTACAGAGACCTTTGCTTTTTTTTTCTTTAAACACTAACCAGTAGATTGAAGCCCAGGTATTAAGTCAATGTCATCAACATTAGTCTCGTGATAAGTGTGTAATAAGCACCTAAATAGCTCCCTTCAGGTTGTATGCTAATGACTGGGTTGAAGGTTGGAAATATATTTATTTATGTGTAGCATATCTTGGGCAGGTAGACCTGGTGAAGTCCATCCCTTTCCAGGTCAGACTACATCCAATGTCATCTGACTTGAAGGCTCACCTTGTTCATGGACATGTAGCTGTTCATTCTATTGGAGGAACACTTCAACCTGACAATAATATAATAATTTAAATTAACCCAATTTAAAATATGAACACTGATTCAATCAAACATCTCTTTTGTTATCAAATGGTGTTGATTTGTTTTCTTTCTTTTTGTTGATTAGTTAATTACCAAGAGCCATGAATGGGGAAAAGAAAAAGCTGATCTTCTCATACAGCTTAATGAAGCACAGAATGGTTTTGTAAGGGGTGTGGAAATGGCCTTCCCTCTTGTTATGAACATGGTATGTATTGCAAGAACATGAGCCATCCATTCAACCCTCTTTCTTCCATCAATATAAATCCCAGATGCAGTGAAAGAGAAAGGGTTAATATTATTAGCTTACTTTTCTTATAGTTTATATTTACTGTTTCTTTATTCCTTACCTACTTACAAAAGACACTGTGAAAATAATTTATTTCCATACAAACAACAACAGATAAGTGGCGCACAATGACACTGTTGTTGAGAGAAAGTTTTCCACTAAAAAACACTATATTTTAAAACAAAAAGAAGTTAACTTTTGTTTCCTGAATTATGACAGGGAATCTACCCTGACAACAGTAACAACCCTCAACAACTGCTGATGAGTTGTGTATTAGTGTAAGACTTAATAAGAGGTTGTTTATCAAGTTCCACTACCCTTTGACATTTACAAATGGTACATGTCATGCAATGTACACAAGTGTGAATCATCCCCTATTTCCTTTGTATTTCATTAGTAAGAAGTAAGTTCCATTTAGACAGTTTTCTTCCCAAGAACTTTTGCTTTGTGGAACAGACACCCAGCAGGATGTTTTTCCAATCACTACATTCTTGACCTCTTCAAGTCTAAGGTTAATCATTATCTTTCCTGAATATCCCTATGAATTTCACTTCTTGGCTTTTCTCATGCTCATACAAAACCACTCAGTAACCCTCTACCTTGAGTGGCTATTAGGTATTGTATTGAGTGAACATTAGTATATAAAAATGTGTGAAATCATTAAAATGGTTTTAATTATTTCCTATACATTTCTGTACATATAAGCTAGCCTAAACTAAGAAATTTAATATGAACTAAAAAAGTTTTCCACTGTAAGTAAACCAACCATAAGGAACTGCATTGCTTTTAATTACTAACTGCTACAGTTGGCTTACCAAATATATATTGGGTAACCTTTTTAGTATCTGATCATAGTAAGCAAATAATTACTCAAACATTTATAATAAAAAAACAAACAGAGCTAGGGAGAAGTCAGAAGAAAGTAAATGAAGTTTTTATTTTCTGGGATGTCAATATGCTAACAAAATACAGAACTATGTTCCATGCCTTCTCACTGACCCTGAAAAGGGAAGCTATTGAATGTTATAACAGCTATTTTGGCTCACAAGTCCAGCATATCATCTTGCAAGAGGCTGTTTCTGCTGACATGTCAGGAATTTATTTTCTCTTAATGGCATCTATCTGAAGACTCTTCTCTCTATACAGGCAAAGCTTCACTGACTGGCCATGAATGGTCATATGACCAGCCAAATATGATGCATACTAATTGGAGAAGAGGAAGAAAGGTCATCCCAATTCTATATATTATTTTTTTTCTTCAACATTTACTAGTGAAAAATGCCTAAACCGAAGAATTGCTTCCACCCTTTCTCATTGTGTTCAAGTTTCAATCTAACAAAATTGTTATGAAATACATAGGTTGATCCCCAATTTTTTATCTAAAAATTTTGTCTTAAACACTATATATATATATCTATATATATATATATATATATATATATATATATATATATATATATATATATATATATATATATTAATAATATAGATTGAATCTGAAGAATTCAAAATATATATGCATATAATGTATATGTGTGTTTAATCATCCCCTATCTCACTATCCACATTTGTTTTACTGCCATCTTTAAAACTGTCCCCTATTATGGTAACTTATGATTCAGACAATTTTATACTGACTTTTTTAAACATCATTCTTGTAGATTAAATTAAGGAGTCAGTTCAAAATTCTCTGAAGTTAACAGAGATCAACAGACACCAGAAGTTGGTCAGAGGATACAATGGTCAAGACGTTTTTATAATAACAACAAAGATGAAGGCACAAGTCCAACTGTAAATAATATAATTAATGTAAACAGTAAAGGAGGGAATAAGAATAAGATTGACTCTAAAGAAATTATGCAATATTTATATTAAACTGTCACTAGATTAGCCGCATTTATTATTCATTTATAGTACAAAAGTTTTCCCAAATGTTTTATATAAATAAACATTGCAATATTAATGTTTTATTTCCGTTAGTTCAGATCAAATGTAAAAATGTGAATAAGTGATGTGAAATTTAGACAGAAATAATTTTTGATGTTCATTATTTTCCTGTTTTGATTACAGTCATGTATCACTGAACTGCATTATATAAGATTTCATTGTGATAGAAATGAACCACTGAAATTAATTCTGATTAAAATAATGTTATTAAATTCTTCTTTTTTTCTATAATTACAGCCATCTACAACTAAAGAAAGAACTAAATTCAATCAACAACCAAAAGCATCAAATTCAAAGTATCATTCTTCATGCTTACCACGAGATACTCATCACTAAGATATATACTCTGTCTTATAGATACTGTTCAGTCAACCCTGTGGCCATAAACAAGTGGAATTGATGATTAATCCCAAAGCATCAGGATGAATGGATCTAATTGAATCAAATCTGAAGAAAATAATAATTTCCCTTTTGTTAATTACATTTTCCATATTCCTTTTATTAATTAGTCATTTCCAATTAATATCTACTTTATTTAATCACTTTGTTCTTCTGTAAGTGCTTCATTCCTCATTGTTTTTTTTTCTTGAAAAAATTAATATCATTCACTGATTTATTAACAGATTTTAAAATTAAGTAATTCATCTTAGTCAGAAATTGATAATTTATGCTGGATTTCTTTAAATGAGAAATTATCATTATTATATAATTTATTATTTGGAACATCATTCTCATCTAGATTGTTATACATTCAGCTGTTATACATTCCAGTTTTTGACAATACCTGAAACTTTGTATAATCACCAAGATGAGTCTGCTGTTCCAAATAATAAAACATATATTAAGAATAAATTGATTTTTTTAAACTGCATCATAATTATAATAATTGTAAGTAATATAAAATAGAAATTAAGATTTCCAGAACATATTTAAATTTATTATTTAAATAATAAACTATTTTATAAAGATTATGAAATGTTTAGTCAGAAAACACAGCCATTTAGGATTTCTACTGGTAATTACTTTGGATAAAATATATTTTCTACTCTTAATATTAAAATTTGCCAGTATATTTTATGACCTTAAAACAGGGTTGGGCAAACTACAGCCTGTGAGCTGCATGTGTCCCACCAAAAGAATTCATGCAGCCTGCCAAATGTTAGTAAATTTGAAAGAGAAAGTTACCAAGCAACACCAAATAATATTGTGAGCATTTTGTTTTCTTCCCACAGGTGTGCATATGTGTGGGAGAGTGCTGATCAAAAGGCTTAATATACTATGCAGCCCGATAAAATTGTGAATTTTTTAATGTGGCCCTTGTACTGAAAAATCTGTCCACCACTACCTTAAAAATGATACTTTAAAAAAAATCTTTATATATTTGTAAATAAAGAAGTGCTGATTATAATGAATTCAACACTTATTTTAAAAATCTATTTTTGATTTTGTCCTTTGAAATAAGAAAATAGTCAATGAATCCATACTTGATTTTTAAAGTTAATGTTGTATGTGATTCACACCAGGAAATACTAAAGGTCTGAATTGAATTTAATGTCCATCAGGAAGAGTTGATACATGGGGACCTCAGTATATACTGAGTCTATACTAAAAGTAAGCTTTGTACTTGGTGTCACTTCAGAATGTCAAAAACCAAAATGCCTTGAATGTTGGTCTAGAAGGTAACCCCAAAGTCCCCAAGTGCAGAATTAGGCTTCAAAGAATGTCAGTGGGTGCACCAGCATGAACATGGAAGTGAACCCAGCTGAACTAAAGAGAAACACACACAAGACAACTGTATTACAAGAAGTTATATAAATGTTTGACCTACTAAGAAAGAGAGCAAAATCCCTGACATTCTCACAAGAAAACAATCAAACATTCAAAGAAAAACCCAAAACAACATACCCTTGATTTGGGTGATGTTAATTTTATGGAGTCCAGAAGTGAATAAACAATTATTTTACATATGAACATTTTTTGTATTCTTATTAGATGTGAATGAACATGTGAGCAACAATGAAGTTTTAGAGTAAATGGAAACAAAAAGGACACTTATACTTAGCAACAGAAAGAGATGGTTGAAATTTGTAATGTACATAATGAGGAAAGATGGCTTAGAAAACTTGACACTCAGAGGGCATATTGAAGAGACAGAGGAAAGCAGCACATAACCTACCTCATGTGCTTGTGCAAATGGTTGAATGAACAGGGATCAGGAGAGATAGAAAAAGAAACTTTAGTAAGAGCTACAAAAGACAGGAAATTATAGAGACATGATTGCCCATCTCCTGAAGGGACATGGCACATAGAAGAAGAAGAAGAAGAAGAAGAAGAAGAAGAAGAAGAAGACAATATTGCATTAATATCAAACAGCAATATCTTTTTTGTATATTTATCATAACCTTAATAAAGATGTATAAAACATACTCAATTTAAATTGATCATTATCAATATATCATCAAAATTAAAATATGTCATCAACTAAAAATAAAGAAAAAGATCAGGTTCACATTCCAAACATATCCTATTTATTATTAAAAACAATTTTATTTTTCACTATACATACAAACTGGTGTATTTTTATTTGTTTATCTGAATCAATGGTCCTCAACCATTTTGTCCAATGCACCCTTTTCGCCATAAATCAGAATGCCATCCTCCCTTTCCAAAATTGTCCAACTCAAAAGATGCATTCCAAATAATATGCATATATTAATGAAAATCTTCATTCTCCTCCTTATTAATGCATATACATTTACAGGGATTATTTTTATAGAGGTGTTTTACAAATTTAATATAAACAGAAAATGTTGATGGATTTTTAAACTTGAATATATGTACAGTAATTGTTTTAATCTAACTAATTATTAAATAAAAAGCTGAAGCATACTTCAATAAACAAAAAGTTCAATAAAAAGTCAGGGTATTTAAATCGATTTTATTCTGATGAAGATTACAGTCAATGAGAAACTCATGCAAAAATAAATAATTTTTTCCCTCCTGTCTGAAACCCTAAAATCACCCCCCCACCGGAAGAATCCATCCCAGTTGAGAACCCCTGATCTAAATGATTGAATTAAGTAAAGTTTACAGTAGCATAGTAATAGAAATTAGCCATTATTAGATTATAAAATAA